ATAAAAAAAGTCACTTTTATTGAACAAAACTTACTGAATTCATTTCCGGGATCAAAATTACGATCAGAGACAAAGACCGCTGTTCTGGAAATTTACATTTTGCTAATTTTGAATTTTTATATTTCTAGGAGGAAGAAAATGAGGTAATTTCAATAAGTGGCATTTTTTTTATATTTTTTGTGAACATTTTTTATCCTTCAACGCATTATTATGAATATTCAAAGAGACGAAACAAACTAGTTGATATAAAGTTCCTTTCATTTCCATTTGAAACGCAACAAAAATGGTGGAACAGTTGAAATTAAGTTTTTGTTATTTGTTAATACATCTTTTTGAGTTTTTGTAAAAATTTTGAGGAAAATGTTTTGTTTGATTTTCTTTCAGATATCTGCACATTTTACCAAAATATTCAGATATTCTCATACTTTATTATACTGGCAAGCAAATTTTTATTTAAAAAACCAGCTCAGGTTTGCGCATTGCTCTTGGCAAGATTCAATTTTTGCAGTGATTTGAATATGAAAGACATCAAGCCCACATCGCTCATGCAAATCTCTGCAGACATTCCAAAACTTTACCGGCGATATATATTATTTCGAAAGGCGTTTCCCCGCGAAATTCCACGCAAACGCGATCCTGCACATACAAATGAGCCACTAATTAAAACAGATCAATAAAGTCTGCGCCGAGTGAAAAGTCATCTGGGTTCACGGCTGCGAATTCCAGTCGGACGCGAAACACGAGAGAGAGATACGGAGGGTCAGTTCGAGCCGGAGAACAAATAAAAATAAAAGAAAGAGCATTGTATTCGGTGGTGTAGCCTCTCTCTCACTCGAATTTATATATTCGTTTTATCTGCTCCTTTGAATAAACCAAACACACATAACAGCAATTTATAGCTCTCGCAAATAGCGGGTCGCGCCGAGTTACATTTCTCTGCTGCCGTGCGAAGCGAAAATAAAAGATATTCGCGAAAATCCGCCCAACGGAATGATGATGATATCTGCGCGCGCCTTCTTTTTCTTTATTCCAGTGACGCGAGTTTAAGCTTTTGTATATTTATTCGTATGATGATTCCTTAATTCGATAATAATGCCCGCTACTGTGTCTCATTACTGAAATAATAATTGACGTATCCCGTTACTCCGCCGCGACTGCTCCTTATTCAAATTGCGGCGGCCTGAAATTTATATACCTCTGACCGACCGGGTATGGTCCATTCTTTTCTGCCGCTGCAGTTTGCACTTAAATGGGCACGAAATTTAATTATTGCTGAAAGATTCTGCCGAGCCAACTGTAAAGCTACTCTTTATTTAAATGGATCCGAATGCCGCGGATATTTGCATAATTGAAGGGTTAAGAACAAGAGGAAGAAAGGTCGGGCCATGAATTTTTCAAATATCAAATACTTTTGTAAATATATTGAGCAATATCATTTTTCTCAATTACGGCCGAATTTTTAGACAAAATATGTTGAAAATAAACGTCAGTATTAAAAATATAATTGAATGTTTTATGTTTTTTAGGGACAGAAAAATTTATCTATCCATTAATTTTGGCACAGCTGCAGCCAAAACATGATATATTTTAAAACAGAAACAATTGAAAGAATAAAATTTGACATTTTGACATTAAATTCAAACTTCAAATAACACAAATAATATTTAATAGCATTTCTAAATTAACCTTTTTGCTGTGTAATTAATTACAAAATTTGATAAACAATTCACTTGAAGTAACTTCACGAAACATTTTTTATTTATATATTTTGATTAAGAAAGAGCGTAAAATTGGCAATATTTCTGAATTTTGACTGAGATGTGATGTTTCAGGGTTCAAATTTTTTATAGGCAACTTCAGTTTTCTGCCCAAAATAATTTTCCTTTTTTTTCTATTACGAAAAGTCTATATCAATGTATATTAATAAATAATAAAAATTATGATCAATTTAGATGAATATAAAATCAAGAATTTATTTTCCAATTAAATACTCTCCAATACAACCTGTTTGCACGCGTGTTTGTTTTTAAAATAAATTTAAGGAAATAGTCGTGAATTAATTAATTAAATTTCAACCAATGTTACATGAATAATTAAGCGAAATAAATCACTTCTGGAAACACTTCTCGCATTCTTTGGCCGTTTCCAGAAAATTCCGCGTATAATTTATCATGCCCCTTCTTGTTTACAAGTTATGCAAAACGCACGGCTTCTTGCAATCAGCGCAGGCTTTCTTTCCTTCTCTCGAGAGAGACACGAAATAAATAAAATTACATAAAAAAAAAAAAATAAGAGCAGCTCTCTCGGAGTGGCTCTTGGCGGCAAAGGTTAAAAATGCAAATAAATAAATAAATATAAAGCTGCAGCAGAAGCCAGAAAGAGAAGAAGTCCGCCGCGAGATAAAGAGGACAAGACACACACACCGGTGTTGCAAGAAGCGAAATAATTTATGGCGACTGAAAATATTTATAAAGAGGAGAGTGCATTTGTTATTATTATGCATGCGGCCGGCGCGACGAAGAGAGAGAAAAAGAAAGATTCCTCGAGATTGTCGCGCTGCATATGCATGCTGGCGTCTCATTGTGCAGCTTATTTTGCGCAGCAAGTGCACTCGCTTTACAATACATCACGGTTGCTTCTTTCGTACTTTGCATTCACGCAGCCGCGATAACCGCACACACACAATATTATCGCATTAAGCACAATTTCTCATCACTCGCCTGATTGTTTGTTTGTTTATTTATTTATTTGTGTGTGTATATCGTGCACAGAGTTATTATCAATTATTGTCTCATTACGACAATGTGCCCGATCACGTCGCCGATTAGCGGGAAACCTGAGAAGAATCGCATTTCCACCACCGCGCGTTAGAGGGAGTCTAGAAAATAAGAGGCAATCGTTTTATCATCTTGTCAGATGAACTGCGCCCACTCTTTTATGACCAAAGACGGAAAGAGTAGACATAAAAAACATGAAATTTTCTAGCTTTAAGATACAAATTTTGTTGAAATTTCAAAAATGTTTCAAAGGAAATCCCATGTTTTGAAGGAAAATTTACTTAAAATGTTCAATTTGCAGTTATTTTTTACTATAAAAACAAACTTCTTTTTTTTTGCTGTAATAGTAAAATGCAATGCAATATCATACATTGCAATCAATTTTTACATCATTTTACAAAAGTTACAATTGCATTTTCAAAAGGAAACATTGTAATAGGTTAAATGGTAACATTGAAATAGGTCAATAGATAAATCCAAAATTATGGTTCATTTCATTGATTATTATATTTACTGTTTATTCCTCTTTTATTGTCAGACACTTTAAAATATTTATTAGACTTACTGTTAATGTTTCCATTTCCCAACCATAGACTCAGATGGGCACAACTTATTTTCATAAATCAGATTATTTAATAATTTAGTAATTAGCAATAATAGCATGAATGTCATAAATAACTAAAGAGGGTTACATTAATCATTACTAATTGTGGTTTTAAATATTTTTACCTGCCAATAAGTATATTTATAAGTATACATTCACCTAAATCATCCCTTAAAAAATAAAATATGAGTTTAATACACGAGTTAATGAGCTTTGCTTGGTTTTACAAACATTTTTTGCAAAAATAAATATTAAAAATAACATATTAGTTTAAATATAGATTAAAATATAATGAAATTTATGAAACAAAATTATCATTTGACATAATATTAAATTATATGTTAAAATCTTTTCGAATCATATTTTTGTAGCTTTTGGATGAGTGGAGTTTTTTTTTTTTGCTACTCATTCTTATGATTCACAAATGGAAAATAATTTGTTTAGAGCGCATTTTAATCTTGCTCTTATTATCCATGCTGCTCCTCTTTTCTCCCACAGAAGTTGGTCTGCAGACGAAAATAATTCCACGGTCCACCGTCGCACACAATCGCACGAATCGACGACTGTAATTACAAGTATTTGTCCGCGCGCGCATTGTTTTTACTCTCGCGGCTTAATTTGGCATGCTTCCCTGCTCCCAAACAACGCGCTGCCAACCAATAATTTTCTGTCATTAAAAATAATAACTGCTCGGCCGGCCAGAGATGGCCGCTGCTGATAATGAGGGACTCGCCGCCGCGCTGATTGGAATTTGGGGCCGTTTTCGCGGTTGCCGCCGATTCAATTTGCATCGAGTCAATCAATTTTCTCTCTCCTAACGTCGCTGACCCCACGATTTAATGAGCTGAGTCATAAATTTTCACCTCGAAACACACACGCATCGATCTATTGAGGAGCTATTTTCGGCCGGCACAGATGTTGCCGTGAGAAGTGCCAAAAGTTGAGCACTACTTTGGTGATTAGCGAAAAATTTAGATAGAGGGGAAAAGTTCCGTCATTAATACTTAACGGTTAGTCTTGATTTTTCATGTTTAAAAATAAAAATTATTTAGGATGATTTTTTAATTCGTTCTATTTTGAGAGAATTAAGATTTCTGGTAGAAAAATTAAAACTATTCAAGTAAATTCGTCTGCAGAGAGTTAATTTCTCCTCATTAGCTTAATAAAATACCGAATACAACTTATTTTATCGTAAAAATGGTAAAATGAAGTTTGGTTTTTAAAATATAGACAGAATTTAAACTCACTTATAATTATATATTTCAAATAATTTTCTTTCTTCATTTTAATACTTAAATATAATCCTCAAATTAAAAACTTTAATTGATTTAAATTGTTTTATAATTTTGAAAATCTAAAGAAAGACGCTTTCTCTTCTTGCCCTTGGATATGAATTAGATTTTAACCAAAGAAATATAATATCAAAAGAATGTAATCAATTTTTAATTTAAATTATTAAATTACAATTTGATGTAACTTCTGAAAAATCTATAATAATCATGGCCAAATCTTTTTTTAAGTTTGTACGGCTTACATTTAAAAAACTGGAAAATCATTTATTTTTTCCTAATTTTTTATAGGGACGAAATGAAGGATTAGAAATGTCAATTTTTACTCACCAGGGTCGCTGCTGGTGGCCCTGACGGATCCGACGACGGTGCTCCTGCTTGCGTCTTCCCTGATGTTCAGGCTGTACCTGGGCTTTTCGAACACAGGTGGTTGTTGTCCAGGTGCGATGACGCTGAGGAATACCTCGGCGTCCACTGCAGACTTGATTCCGGCACCGTCGCTGGCGGAAACGTTCAGGTGGTGCCTGGGCGCCGCCCTGCTCAAAGGTCGCGTGACGAAAATCGCACCTGACTTGCGGTCCACCCTGAAGAGGCCGTCGTCATCCGGAGGTTCCGCAGACACCAGTTCGTAGTGGACGGTTCCGAAGCGACCAGAGTCAAGGTCGGTGGCGGCCACGACGACGACGGGGGCGCTGCTGGCACCCCTGTCTTCGCGCAGGCTGACGTTGTACTCGCGGGGGTAGAAGGTGGGGCGGTTGTCGTTCACGTCCGTCAACTGGATTTTCACCATGGCCGTTGTACTGAGGCCACCTGAAAACGAATAGATAAAATATTTTAAAATAAATAATTATATCCCTAAAAACAAAGTTTATTATAAAAATAAAATGCTTGCGTTGAAACACTTTGAAATACGATAGAAGTAAATTTAAGCTACGAAATAACAATAATTTACCATTCCAGAGAGATGGATCAGATGAATTTTGATAAAATGCAATTTTTATAATTGATACAAAAAAAATCAGGTGCAATAAAATCCAACAAAGATCTGAATGAAGAAAAAACAGCAGTTTCTCAACTAGAATATTTAAAAAAAAACTTTTTCATGTGATTTTTAAAGTCAAATTTCTGGATTTTTGGTCAAAAGTCTTTTTCAAAAATGTTAAATTTTTCAGCAAATTTCGATTGTAAAGTTTCTCTAATCAAATTTTTGAATAAAATATTTATCTGTTTGTGGCCATACCATGGAGGCACGTCAAAAATTACATTTCCATTTTCCATTTCGAAAGTTGATATTTGTTTCTATACCATTATCTCACAATCAGTGCATTTATCATTGACACATGAAAACTCAGACATTAAGACAAAAAAAGTTCCACTAGGTTTTAATTCATTCTCAATGATGGTGGAACAATTAAATAATAAATATAAAAATTGTTCTGTTTGAATCATCATGTCGTCTCTGATCTTTAAAATAAAAACACAATTGCTTGAAAATATGAAAATAAGTGATATATTACCAATAAAAAAAATAATATAAATAAAAGCAAACTATAAAATATTTGAATGTTACAATTGGTGTTAAAATTAAAAATGATTTTCAAATGATGTTTCCAATACCTTATTTCTACTATATGTAATTGTGATACATACATTTTGAAACTTAAAAGAATTCCGAACTTGCCCAATCAGCCCAGTGAAAGTGTCAACTTTATTTATCGTATGTTTATTATTCCGCGTCGTCTCACCGAGATTTCAAATGGGAACACTGCGTTGCCCAAGAACATTTAAAAAACAAGCCGTCAGGTCCATTAATTTTAACAGCCTCTAATGTGAGCTAATCTGCCTCAAATTCCGGTGAAGACCTAGCGCAATAGAAAAAAGCGGGCCGGACGGAGAACGCGATGATTTATTCATCAATTGTGGCCGGCGCCGAAGGGTTATAAACTCGGTGAGCGCGAACAATATGTCAAAGTGTCTCGCGGCGGTCGCGCTCAAAAGGAAAAGGGTTGGCCGACAGAACGAACGCCATTAAAATTATATAAAAGTCCCAAGACAAATAACACCTCTTCGCGGACGGTGTGAACTCAGTTGGTATTAAAAACACGGTAACTTTTTAAGTTGCTCCTCTCCGAAAGCTCGGACGATAAAAATATATAAAGACGTCTCTCGTGTGTGTAAATGGATGAATAATGTTGTGTTTTATCTCGCGAGATTTTTCTCTCTTTCACTCGAGCAACGTTGTTGCCTCTCGAAAACACAGACGCAAAGTTCCTTAATGAGCCCTGCACTTCAATATTGCAGGGCGCCGTTGTTAACCAGAAATTCGCTTGTCAGGAAAGAGCAGGAGCAATTTTTGAAGAGATTTAAACCTTCATTTAGACACAAATTTAAATAATTTGATGTAATTTGTATTTATTTTGAATTCAAATATTAACAAAATTTTTGACAAGCTTCAGCAGGGAAATGAATGATGAAAAATTTTGGGATTTATTTTTATTTGATAATAAATAAAAAATTTACTTTTTCATAACTCAGAAAATTGAAAACTCAAAAAAGAGGGAAACAATGCAGAACTTTTTAATTTGTTTTAGATAAAAATGAATACCAGAAACTAAAATATTTTCCAATTGATCAAACTCTTAAAACTATCTTGGAATTATTACTGTGCAGCGTTTTGTATAAAAAATTTCTTACTCTTGTAAAAATGAGGAACAAATATTTTCGGTGCAGAAATGGGTTTCCTGAGATTATCCTCTGATGGATAATTTCAATCGAGTGTGTAATTTATGCACGCACGACGTGGGCAATTTGTCGTCCGATTATCTAATTGGAGAAATCGGGCTGCTTTTTTCGTCGTCCAGCAGCAGCAGCAGCACCAGGTGGAATAATTAATAGTGCACTTGGGATTATAATGTGCGCATTATGCGCGTACGGCCATTGTTCTTATCGGCATCGCAGGGTCGATTATAAATATTCACTCGCCTTCTCGAGAATCCGATCCTTATCGTCACCGAGCAAAGAATCCATTGGAAATAATAAATAAGTAAATCGAACTTCAGTTTTCGAAATCGGAAAAGAGAGCGTGTACGTCACTCCGTTTTTGGGCATGTGCTGGAAGACCTTGTTATTTGCTATTCATATCAAAGGCCAGCGGTTGACAGATTGCTCTATATTATTGATCCAAATCAATGAACTCAATGATACAGCGAGATTTATTTCAAACTGGAATCGATCTGCATTTTTCCACAAAGTAAATCTGATTCAAACCGAGAAAAAATATTTTTAAGTTTAAAAAATTATTGAAATTGTGTTGCATTCATTTTTCAGTTTCAATTAAAAACAAACAGTTGAATTTATTTAAGTCAGGGAATTTTTTATTAACAATAAAAATTTGAAATCTCAGCTTTGCCTATAAAACAAACTAAATCTGACAGACTTTGACACAAGCAACAACAAAAAATACATTAATTAATTTTAATTTTTACACGAAATAAAAATTTGAATTTTGAGGAAAAAAACTTGGAAACGGGAAAAATCAATTGATAACAGACTAATCACCTTTACGTGGACTTGCGATCGAAAAAATGAGCTATTTGAGACAAAATCTGTGCAGAGTTAAGAAAATTCCTAATGTGAAAATTAAAAATGTTTAATAAGGGCGGAAATTTGCAAAGTTATCTTTCCTGCATCGATTTTGTCTCAAATATCCCGCATCTTGGAACGTGAAGTTGATTTGTGTAGTGTTACTTAACAATTGTTAATTTTATCTTTTAGATTTGGACATCTATATAAAATCAATATTATTTGTTAACTATAGGTATAAAATATAAAAATTTTAAAACTTCACATATTATTCATATACCATTACTATTACGATACTATGCACAAACGAGTTCCCTACCCGAAATAGAGTGACACCACAATTATTTGGTTTTGTTCAACTTGGATACTGATACGATGGTCACTAATTTTTTAAATTATAAATGTTTCAAGAAGTTAAGAAATAAAAAAATAATACCAAATAAAATCAGATCAGAAAAGAAATAAGTTTAATTGTATTTAAAACATTTTATTTTTAATAGTTTTATAAAAGTTTTATATGAAAACCATTTGTAAAAACTATGGTAATATATTATTATTATTTGTAAATTATTAATTGTTAATATTTTTTTTTAAATTTAACAAAATTGGAATGAATGCTTACCTCTGTCTGTAGCAATGACTGGAAATTCGTAAACGCTCCTGGTTTCAAAGTCCAAAGGGACAGCGATGCAGACCTCGCCGGTGGTGGATTTGACGACGAAGTCCTTCATCTTGCTGGTGCCCTCGCCCATCGTGTAGTTGACCATGGCGTTGACGCCGCAGTCTGGGTCCGTCGCAGACACCTGGAAGCAAAAACAAACAAAAAATTAATTTTCTGAATATTTTTTTTGCACAGTTTTGCAAAGTCAATAAACCCCGGCGGTGTCCGAAGGAGAGAGAAAACCCGCGGGAGGCGATTTCGTGCCTTTTTCGTACTTATCCGCGAATAAATTGTGTAATTTGGTTAATGGCGGCGACGAAGGTTGTGTCATTTTTCGTTCATTTATCACGCTTTCTGTCTAGTCACCGCCGCCGACGACCGCCGCGCGCCATATGATCCAAATGAGATAATGATTAATACTGATGACGGACGCCGCGTTTTGCTCCCCAAAGTGGCGAGAAAAAGCCGCGCCGAGAGTTTTTGCGGCGACATTGAGCCCGCCGGACCACACAGCTCGCCGTCTCCTGCATGCGACTACAAATAATGCAAATAATAATAATGAATTTGCCGCTCGATAAATCTGCAACACGCGGGCACATATCGAATTCAGAGCGCATTGTGCGTCCCGCACAAATAAATCTCGCCCGGTGGTGAAGGACACGTGATATTCAAAATTATGTTAAAGGCCCTCTCCGGTAATTTCCTTTCTTCTTGAATTCCAAAGATCTCATGAATGAAATCAGAATAATGATAGATCAAATTTGCCCTCCTAAGAGTTTACACCGGGGATTCGTCTTTTCCCGCCAAAAATATTTAAACTAAACACATTTTTGTTGCTAAATCACTGGTTTCAAATAAATGCCACTTCTAATGCTTGATATTGAAATTTCCGTCAAGATTCAAATGGTTTTCGCTTAAAAACCCCTCGGTAATGATAATTTTTCAATTACGATTTCAATTTCACTTCAGATTTTTTAAACTCGTAATTGGTGAGGCCATTCATTTGCTGGATAATTGGCCCAGAAATTGAATTTGTTAAATATTTTTTTTTATTTTTTAGATGCGATGATTAAGAAGGAGGATTCATTCATATTTGCAAACAATAAAAGTCGCTGAAAAAAAGTGGGAATGAATTGTTGGACTGACAACAAAAATGACAGGTATCTTTCGTCGGATCGTTCTTGCCCTACGCGTCTAGGAAATAATTACTCTATTGCATAATTCATACAATGCAAACAATAATAATTTCAATCCTGCAAGAAACAAAAAAATGTATTTCATTCGCCACTGTGTGATTCGTCTTGTCCTTGAATTGTTTGCAGAGTGAATTCGTTTTTGCGGCCGATTATCTCGGATCATAAAAAAGGTGAGGCCTCTCAATAACGAGAAGGGTGGAAAGAGGTATTTGCAGGATTTAATAATTTTTGCTTTTCAGTTTATAATTAATTAGGATTCCTAATTGCAAGTGCACCTGTTCAAATTTTTAAAAAAATTCCTCCTAACAATATTTTCCCCCTTTTACACCCAAAATTTTACCTATTATTCTTTTGAAAAGCTCTATTTATTTCTGCTTTTTGATGCAAATTTGCACGTTATCTTATAGTTTTTTATTTATTTATTGATTAAATTATTGCTTCGTGAAACAAGCGGTTTACGATTTTACAAAATATTATATTCGCAATTTTTACGATTAAATTTAAAACTCAATGATTCATACTAATTTTTTGCAAACCCTTCAAAGATATTTCTAATGTATTTTCATAAAATCCATCTTTAGCTACCCTTCAATTTAATTAATAGTTTCAGCCACACCTAATTTCCCCTCTTAGATAGCGGCTTTCTTTTACACGGCCAATTTGCCAAGCTGCTAATCCCATTGACGCGTGGGCCGCGAAAATGTGTGTATGAAAAATCGATTGCGATTATTAGCTGAATGGCAATTTTTTTTACAGTTAAGAATGCACTTAATGGCGACAGCCGAAGAAAAATGATCAACCACCGAGCGCATTAGCGAGTTTGGCGCGAAATGAGTTATGGCGCGCGGCACCAAAGGTCTCTCAGAAGGGTCAGTTACAGGTGTGCCCTCGCGCCGGCCTAGGACGTTGATCCCGAGGCGGCCCCCCGATCACTTGTGCAAATAATCGATTTGACGAGAGAACTCTAATCTGGATTTGCGCTCGGCTCGTTTAACGAAAGAAGCCGTTTTCGGCGACAAAATCCTTTTAGCCGGATTAATACGCACGCATACCACAGCAAGATAAACACAAAGTGCCTCCAATTTTTCCTCCGAGAAAAATATATTTTACGCCGTCCGGCGTCTCCTGCTTTTCGCTCTTTAATGTCTCAATCAATCGCGCCGGCGAACTTTGCCCTCGGAATGCGTATTTTTTTTTTTATTAATATTATTTTATCTCGCGCCTCCTCTCTTTCCTGTGGTGATAATTTTTTAATTAAATTTTCACCTGCGGCGGCGAGTTTCGAGCTGCAGAAAAACCGCTTGAATTTCCAGTTAAAAACAAAAGGGCTCGTGGTTTTTTTTCACCGCGGCATTCCTGATTCGAATAACTTTCAGCACTTCTTCGCCGACTCGCGCTGCTCTTTTTTATGACGAACGACATTGTTGATATCAAGAGAGAGAAGCACACTTGTCGCAAGGAATGTCGGCGGCTGCCTGCCAAATCGACGCGAGCGGAGAGAAATTAAGCGAGGGTCACCAAGACGCTCGTAACTTTTTCACGGGGCATTATAATTTTTCCACCAGTTTTTATTATATTAATGCGTGTATAGCGTTTATGGATGCTGCGGTTTTTTGAATTTTATATTATCTTCAGACGGACTCGTTTCTTGTATGAGATTTTGTGTTAAATATAAATAAAACAAAATTATGTTCAATTATTTTTTATTTTTAAGCTGCATTTGATTTTATTCATTAACACTCTTTAAAACTTTTATCCACTGATTTTTTATTTTAATTATTTAAATTTTAATATATTTTTTTCCCAACTTGATGATAATGTGCTGTAAAGATAAATTCCTCCAATCTTTGTTATTATATTATTTTTAATACTTTAATTATTACATATATTTGCTTACATTTGTTGAAGTAAGTCATTAATGTTAAATAGAAATGCTAATAGTATTTTCGGTTTCAATTGTTGTCTGAGTTATGATTATGAAAACATGTTTCATATTGCAAGGCTGGCTAGGGCTATTTTAAACTTACCAATCTTAAACATCATTAAACGAAATTAATGAAATTATTTAGTAATTTTATAACTGCAAATTATCAAAACTAAATTATCATTCCAACTAAGATTGAGGACTGTATTTCTAAACAATTGATGGCTAGATTTAAATTCAAAACGTATTTTTGACTTTCCACAACAATCATTACATTTTTTAACATTGTTATTATTTGACATGAAAAGTTGTAAACTTTGAAGAATAAAGATCTGGGATGCAAAATAATTTATTGTGAGCGAATTTTAATCTGAAAATGTCTTCATTTTTAAATTTTTTGCATAGAAATTTTGACCAAAATTTTATATTCAGCGTTAAACGATTTGTTCTTTTTCAATTCTTCAAGTTTTCATTCTACCTTTGCCAAGGAAAACCAGGTTCAGGTCAACTCAACGACGTCAAAATAGTTTTGCTCTCAGAAAGGCCTGCGTGCCATTTAAATATTCAAAATAGTCGATCGGCGTGTGTAAAATAGGACCCGTGATGCCCACAAGTCTCTTTATCAATTCGACCGCTTCTCTGTGTATTTTTATACGTACTTATATTTATTATCCAGCACGGATAAAACATCTCGTCGCCGCGTCGTTTGTAAAAACCAAACTGCCTCTCTCGCACTCACAAATGTGCGCCGTCTCTCGAAGAGGGACAACGCCTAAAATTTTATTCATCTATTTCTTGTTGTTTAAATAAAAATTTTACTGCATTCAAATGGAGCCATTTTCACATACGCGCGGCGCGATGAGGTGCTAACATTTTTATACATCCTTGCCCGCCGCGTAGGAGAGAGATACGCCAGAATATTTTATTTGGTGATGAGAAGAGCGGCGAGTTGTTTCTCGCCGCCGCAAAGAGGACCTTCTTAATCCACACAGGTGTATAAAATATATATACATAAAAATAATAATGCCGTACCTCGGCGAGAGAGTAAATAAAATTTATAGATCGGCTTATACAAAGGAATGATCATATTTTATTATTTTATGTGTACATACAAGTGTGTGCAACAAATTCAGCGACAAGTTACAACATAAGTGAGACGGCGAATTGAATTTTGTCGCGTCGTAAATAATTTTCGGCCGTGGCAAAAATTTATTTTGCCTCGGAGAGAGATGATTTTTTTTTATATTTTGATTTATAAAAGAATGGGTCGCGATAAGCGGTATAAACATAGCCCTAGCTCGAGTTTGGTGAGAGGATAACATACAAGATATCGCCCCGTGATTGCTACTTATGCGAGCTCATCACCGTCCGGATTTTTTATGGCGCACTTCACGTACCCTAGAGGTGAGGAGCCGCCGCGTGATGGACCACAGCCGGCGTCTAGCCGGCCATAAATTGAAACTCTATAGGAAACGCAATACGCGGCATTATTTTTACGATATCATAATTTTTGAAATGTGACGACAACGCTCTCGATCTTTTTATCCTCTGCAGTCGGCTCCGATTTCAATGTTCGCCAAATTGTATATTATTAATATGAGCCCTGATGTGTCGCTTTGGCAAGTGATTTTTATGTTCAACGGGGTCGTTATTAATAAATTAATACAATGTGAATTAAATAGACTGATTGGTAACAAGGAAAATGCATAATTTTCATAATTTATTGTTTTTTATTAATTAAATTAGTACTTGTGACTAATCGCCTTGACGTGGAATTACGTTCCGAGACTGAGTGGTTTCTTTGGGTTTTAAATTCTCAAAAGTTTTCATCAGTTAAATGACAGAAAAAAATACGGCGAAAACAGATATTCAATAAATTTTCCAGTTTTATTGACAAGTATTTGTCCTTGGATGAAAAAAAATTCCAATAAAATTTAATTCAATTTAATTTAATTTGAGAAACTTCATCTTTAAAATTCAAAAATTAAAAAGATAACAATAAAAACAAATCATTTCTATCAA